CCTGCATTTCTTACCCCAATGCGGAAGCAGGACAACCTTTTTTTAGATGCAGGATCTGCAGGGTCACTTATTAGTCTTGCAGGACGGTATGAAAAACAGCACAGAAATCAATCAGCTACACAAAGAATTTGGGGTTCATAACGATTTTTATAAAGTATTTACTTATGAATTGTAGAGCGATGAGCAGTTATAACATGGAAAATTAAATAAAATCAACACTTCTTAGACATAATTTCTGCTTTTGTCGTACGTATATTGTTATTAGTAATAATAGGGGTTTTTCAAATTTTCGCGAAAACTATCGCATAATTTTTATTTTTTTTCTGATTGGTGTTTGTTGATCACAAAGGAACAAGAGTTTCAAGTAATAAGACTAAAATAATAGAAGCATTTATATTCGAAATATTTCACCTAACAATTGGAGTTGATTTTTACATATTTTCATATTTGTTCTCATTCGATGAATTCAAATAATGATCCAGTTTCAATATCTTCACCTCAACCAGAAGAATATGGACTTCAATCAACTATAACTATTTCACCTGCAGTGTCAATAGAATCAACAATTGATGAAGCAGTTTTTGTCGACTCGATTGATAGTCTATCTTTGTATCTTAATGCTTCTTCTGATATTCTTCTATTCATCTAATGCATCTCAGTACTATTTTCTATTCATTTCATTTCTATTGCAAAACGTGACTTGAGGTTTTCTAACACATTATTTTGTGTTTTTTCATGTAAACAATACTTTCATTTTTTGATGTTGTATCTCATTTTAGTATCAATGAGATAGTAAACTCTTTATCAATATAATTATCTTACGATTCTTTTTTCTTACAAATCTCAAATACTTTTTGTTCATTTCATTTCACGTCTATCAGAAAGAATCTGATTAGATTATTTAATAGAATCATTATAAATGATTTTTATATAAAGAGCATTTGTATGATACTTGACATCATATCTCACATTTACACAATACTTTACCTTTTTTAAAACTTGCAGGACAAAAAGTCGCTCTGTAGGCAGGACGCAGGACGAAAATTTTTACGTCCTGCAATCCGTCCTGAAAAGCAGAATAATATTTGAAAATGTCCTGCAAAATGCAGGGTAGGACAAAAAAAAACCGTCCTGTGACGTTCTCTGGTAGGAAAGCTTCGCACGTTTCATCACCATCTAGGTAATTTTTAGTATGACTATTGAGTATTTCTTGCTATAAATACCTTTATCTAAAATGCTCTATCACAATCCCAAACACTATCATTTTCATCATAGAACAAGCATATGAAACAAATTGATTATTTCATTCAAGTGCACATTTATTAACATCAAGATGAATGTAGTACGGCTAGTTCAGGCAGAGATATTTCGAAAAGTAGTAGGAACTTGGAAGCAGGAATCTGGTGTTTCTATCTAGTGGCTGGGTTTTTCCAGTTCTAGTCAGAACCAATCGTAACCGGGCATAGTCAGTCACGAATTCTGATTCTCAGATTCTTGCTTCCAACTTCCTACTTTTTTCTAAAGTATGCTAGTCTGGAAACAGCGTCTTTCCTGCAGTTTTCCGCCATAAATCCACGGATTCAAGCACTAAAATCATTGATCCCGCGGCATTTCGAATTTCATCGACGTTTTTCAGTGGCTATTTTAGATCTTTTAGGATGGGTTGAATAAACTATCTTAGCAATTTCGCAAAAGCCTTGAAGGGTAGTTCTAATGCATTAATCGTGCGGCCCGAATTCTACGACACCTGACTGGAAGTGTTGATTTTATAGTTACAGGGAACGTGACATTGTTTATCATTAGAACTATTGTGGTTATAACATTGATAGACATAGACACATTTAATAAACTTATCGAAATATTTGAAAAGAAAAATGAGAAATCCAAAATGCTATTCTTTGTTCGAACTGCAATAGAAACTTGTACCATTGATACAATCATACGAAATAGACGTCACTTACATGATTTGTTTTAATAGTTTTGTTCATTTTGCTGTATCTCTGTAAAACTTTTGAAGTTAGTCTATTTTAATATGTTTGGATATATTGGTATTAGAATTACACTATCGAATCATATTTGTTCCATTGTTGCTTATTTATTATATCTAATCTAAAAAGTTTGCGAAGTTTCGGTAAGCAACCAGAGGATAGTTTTTGATTTCCTGTAAATTTAAGATTATTGCTTAGTTCATTTCTTTAGTAATCACTATCTATCTATGTTGTGAAATTTTCCTATATTTTGTTTTGCATAAATTAATAGAATAAACGTTATTCTATTTTATAATATATTTGTCACTATAAATCTATTGATTTTCTCAACACTTTTTACATACATTTTTGTTATAGAATTGATTTGGTTTTTCTTCAAGGAAATTTTAGTTATCTAAATATTGAAATTTTTTCATTGATATATGGTTAGTTAGACCGTTGAATTCTTCATTAATTCATATCGTTTTTTTTTCATAAATTTACATGAAATAAACTTAATAGTAAAGTTTAATTATCTAGACAAAATTCAATTGAATTTGTGTGATATTTTGTGCACATTTAAATTAAAGAGATCCCTTTCATTTAGAACAATCTTCATGATGAAATAATTTTGTCATTAATGAACTATCAGTGTGAAACAGTTCCATGTCATTAATTTCTGAAATTTGTCAAATTTTAGGACAAGATGCAAGATCAATAAAATAATAACTATATTTCTCAATTGAGTAACTATTGTTTTATTAAACTAAATGAAAATAATCAACTTCCAAGACTTTGGAAAAATCAAATAAAACTACCAAAACTAATGGAAACACGATTTAGATAAAGTTTCACTAATATGAAATAGTATGTAGCATGAATAACTTAATTAATTCCCTTGACTTTCCTATTTATTCCTACTGTGACAATACGCAAATTCAAAGTATCACTCTCCTTTCGTATTACACAATAAATTTTAGAATATGACACATACATAGTCTGATTTTCATCAGTAAAGAGTCTACAAGGCTTGCTGAACTTATCCAGTACATAATCTTAGCTATGTCGAACCTATATTGCTTTTGCACAAATATCATATGCAAATCACAATGATTCACATAGATATAGTTAAATGAAGCAGACAAAAACAATAAGTAACATCTATTTTACGACTAATGAATCGAACAGATTCCATAATTTGATCAATATTTCAAATGTCGTTATATTAGTGATAAGTAGTTTAAGGAAAAATGATGACTAATGTTGCGAAAAAATTAAGAAAATTATTATTCTGAAAACTTTTAATTTGATTTGAATAAAATTTAATAATGAAATACATTGACAAATTGATAACTGAGTTTTATTTCAAAAAGACACTTCTTGGTATATCGTAAAAAACTGAAGAATAACAAATCCTACGAAAATGGTTTATTAATCTCATAAATCCTTGTACAGTCATGAAAAGAATAAAATTTTTCACAGTTTTATAGTGTTTTTTCATAAAATCTTCAAGAGTTTATGAAAATGCAATGTATAATAATCCCTTGAAAGATTTATGAAAGTTTAATGAACGGTTTATGCAGTTAATAAAATCTTTTCGTAGGATTTGTTATTCTACAGGTGTTTTTTTTTACAGTGTATGCATATTAGGTGAAAATATAAGAATAATAGTGTGCTCGTGTTGTAGATGTACTTGTATACAACAAAAGTTTACAGACTTCTCAAATCTTAAAAAAAAAAAAAAACAATGAAGAACGAGGGACAAAAGCGGAGTACTTCTGAATCTTCTCTTGATTTTCTCAGTAAAGAATATAATTAATAAGACAATACCACGAATCTTACTAAAAGAGGATCGTCATCGTCATTAGATTTCTTATCGCTATTACTGCAATTATTCTCATTATCATTTATGTTACTGTTTTGGTTGAGAGTGTTTCTTTCTTTATTGTCATCGATACATTCAGACTTCATTCAGGAATGTTATATTCTATTTATCGAGTAAAATTAAATAATCTATATAGTACAATGCTTGTGAAATTTGAATGGTTATAATTGTCAGTATAATATGATTTGTTCTAAAGTGATTTTTCATGTTTACTGTTTAAGTTATCTCTTCTGTTGATCTCTTACCAATGAACAAAATAATACGTGCAATCGAAATGAAATAGTACAATAGTAACGATGACTACTATTATAATTAAATAGATAGAATAATTCCTGACAAGCCTGGAAGAACTACTTGAATTAATAAATATTGTAAAATTTTCTTAAATTCAATTTGAGGATATTTAGATTCATCAGATACTAACATTGATACCAATAATGTTTGAAATAGAGAATAAAATGTAATAACATGTATTTGTTATTAACGAAAGAATAACCAACAAAAACAGTAAGAATGACTATTTAAAGAGTATTTGAAGGAGATAGACATAATGTCGTATGGATTCTTTAAGTATTAGTTAATATATGTTGTCACTGTAAGTTACAATACTGAGTAATGTCTTCGTCAGAAGTACAATGAATGAAATATCATATGATTTTTAAGGTCTGCTTCTTGCAGAATATTATTTTTTCTTATAAAACTCTTGTCTTTGTTCACGAAATTTCAAAAACTCTCTTTTTCTATCAGCTCACCAATAAAAGAATCACAAAACGTTTCTTTTCTCCAACAGATTATACTGTTGAGTTTATGACTAAACTTCTTTCGCAAACTTTTGCAATATGTTTATCGTGTCAGCGTTACTAGCGAAAGATTTGACCATCTTACACAAGACGTCTACCTTTTTTCTTGGCGTTCGTATTTACCTATCAGACACGTATTGACTTCGACAGCGTGGCAAAGAATAATGACTCAGTTTTCAAAGCATCCACGTACTTACAATCACACATCACTCTTCAGTTATTTACGTTCAAACATTTTTTCATAATAAAGTATAGTATGAAATTTACCAAATAAGAATGTCATATAACTATTCTTTTCGTGCTGAATCCATTCGTCCATTCATTGAAAACGAATTAAACGAATATATTATGATTACAACAATGGCTTTTAACCAAAATAATAAAGTAAGTGACTAGCGACGTTTGAGAAATAAATCTTTTCATTGGTTCCATATGGATACGTTGCATGGGTAAATACTGGACTAAATTGAAGGCTGATCTCTTTCTTACCCTCGGATTTTTATGAACGATCATTTAGATTTTTTCTTCTAGAGTGAAAATTATCGTCATCAAAAAGATTCTTTTCAAACTTTATACCATCATTCATCGATGTCATCTCCATTTGAACCACCAAAAAATGCACTTTATATTATTCTTGGTGAAATTCAAGCAATAATATCATCAAAAAAGAATAATACTCGGTGGTCAACTACTCATTCATATGAAGTAAATAAAAAAGAAAAGAAATTCTTGTTTTTTTGTTTGGTTTTAATGAAAATTTTTATCTATTTAGGAATCTCCTGAGATTAATTCATTTCAAAAACTTAAAACTATTCTTAATTCTGTTGCCGGTAAAGTGAGAAAACAAAACAAAAGAATCATAAATAATCTATGAAAAAAAATTTATTTAGATATTCAAGATATTGATTCATTAACATTTTTAACACCATTTCTTGATGTTATCCGTTCCGATGAAACATCTGGTCCAATAACATGTTTGGCATTAAATGCTGTGAATAAATTTCTTTCCTATGGACTGATTGGTAGAATAAGAAAAAAAAGAAAATTTTGTTTTTATTTAAAATTCTTTTATCTATTTTGTTTTTTGTTCATATCAATAAAGATACTCTAGATGAATCAGCAGCATCAACTATTGATAAAGTTGCCAATGCTGTAACACATACACGTTTTGTTGGAACGAATCCAAATGATGATGAAGTTGTTTTAATGAGAATTTTACAAGTAAATTTTTTTTCTAAAGATTCTTAAAATAAAATTAAAAAAAATTATTTTCATAGGTTCTTCGTTCATTATTACTAAGTCCAATTGGATCACAAATGACAAATGATACTGTATGTGAAATTCTTCAATCTTGTTTTCGAATTTGTTTTGAAACAAGATTATCTGGTATAATTGATTGATTCGTTTTGTTATTAAGAAAATTTTTCTTTCTTTTTTTTTGTCTTTTGTTTTTCAATTTAGAATTATTACGTAAAACATCAGAACATGTTTTAATTGATATGGTTCAATTATTATTTGCTCGATTACCACAATTTAAAGATGATACAACATCGGTATCATCTACAAAACGAGTTAAAGATCTTTCTACAAAAGATATAACAACCAATAATCGACGTCGATCCCGACAATTATCGGGAAATGAACAACAAATAAATGGTAAAATTCTTTCATTGATCTATTTTTTTCTTATTTATGTTGAGTTTTGTTTTTGTTTTATATAGAATCAAGTTCATCTATAAACGAAACAACTTTAACATATGTAAGCATTGAGATATTAGGATTAATATAAACATTAGAAGGTTTTTTTCTAATTGTTTCTTTCTCTCAATTTATACATTAAACATAAAAGACCTGTTTATATCATAAAAAAAGATGTTATATGCTGAGACAATATGACTACTTATCAGAAACGAGAAATCATGAACAGACTATTGGCTGGTTCAATCTATATTCATTATAGAGTTTAAAATGAGAGAATAGGAACTTGCCATACCTAAGGAAAACACTGTATCAACTTGAATGATCCTAATCGAAAATTAAGCAATGTCTTTGATTAAATTTAAACCTTGAATCATTTAGAAAGACTTATATTTAATAGGAGATGCTGTATCTTTAAGGTTATGTCTACAGAACATTTGATTATTTCTTCGATCCTTACACTAAATAAGATTATGAATCGAATATTTACAACGATGAAACTTTTTTCGAATAGAAAAACAAAATATTGAATAGATAACTTATTAACGAAGAAAGCGAATGTTTCATTGGATAAAAATTACTTCAACTGCGGAGATTATCATTGCTAGTAAGAAAGTACAATAAGAAGACATATACACAAGGATAATATGCAAACGTTGCATTGACCTTAAAAAACCATGCGAAAACTTTCATCTAAATTCGATAGAAAATCAGAAAGAACGAATGTGCCGAAAATTTTTAGACAAAATGTTCCTTCGTTAATCGACTGATTAAGGATATTTCTTCTCTTTTTTTTGATCATTTCTGGTTCTTGAAGAAAGTATAATGGATTCTCATAAAATTTTTATGACAGATAGAGCATTTAAAATAAGGAGTCACATGTTCGAGAGAAAACATTGTAAACAAGGTTTTTCATGAGACCATATGAGATCCACTTAGGATCCGTGTCACATTGTGTCTGATGGGGCTGAAATTTTGACGACAGATACTTGGAAATATTCTCCAAAGGAGGAATCAACTGTTTTCATTTTTGACCTTTCTATCCAGATTTATAGAGCCCTGAACGAAATGTAGATGTGGACATACTGGTGTAGCTGAAGAGAAGACCCAAACCACTCCCACAGGTATACACCTGCATAAAAAAGGAGGGCAGCATTTTTAAGATGACTAGTAGATCCTATAAAATATTGGTTTAATATCAGAATTTTACGCTCTTTCCGAATCTGTGTACGAGATTTTTTATTAGACTCATATTTTAGGAGTTATGAGTAAACCTTTGAAGGGCGTAAACAAAAAGTTTGGACAAAGACAGTTGCAACTGACAAGTTCATAGACAAAGAATACGATCGTATCCTGTTTAAAATTGTTTCTATTATGTTTTCCAGCAATTTTTCTTAGTAACGCCCTATTTCTAGCGTAGAGATGTCGGCTTTGTTTAAATATCATTTCCTTTCGTTTGACTGCATCACGTTTTGAAAATTTTTTGGATCAGTACTTAAAGAACAGATCTGCTTTTCAGAGAATGATATCCACTTGCGTATATGTTTTAATATCGATTTTTTGCACAGTATGATCAGCGAGATTGTGCTCAAGGAAGTGCGTTAAGAATCGAAGTTCTCGAAGCAATCTTTCAGAAATAATTGAGTGCATTTTGTGAGTCTGAAAATCAAGAAATCGTGAAAATGTCACTGTACCCCATGTCAAAGCTTTTATTGTTGGTAGGTGTGTTACGAAAAACTAATCATCAAGATACCATTTCGTAGAGAAATATTTTCTAGTTATTTTGATATATTTGAAATAAATTTTGTTTCTATTCTGTACGCTTTCTGTGCTCTAAAACTCGTTCAACCATTGCTTTTAGGCTTTCTAAAGACTCGCTCATAACTCAGAGATCATCTCTTAGCAAGTAATACTACATTGAATAAAAACTTAAAAATACTATCAGTTACGAAATATATGCTTTTTTTTGACCTTTCGATGGGAAAGATCTAAGAACCTAGAATTTCTAATTATTATGATAAAATTCAATCTTTTTTTCTAATCCACGACAATTATAAATATGGTTTTTATCGTTTAAGTAATTGAATTTTAATGTCACTATGAAATCACATTAGAATTTGTGTCCCTTTTATGACGAAAATACAATGTAACAAAATACATGATTATACTTTTGTTGTGAAAAGTTAGTCAATCAATCTCCGATTTTAGATACCTATTGGAAAACAGTGAAGCTTATATTACTTGTTTGCTGAAAAAGGAAGTCCTACAATTGATTAATCGCTGTTAAATCGAGACTACATGCATCATGTAGACTTTAATGAGCTACGAGTATTCTGAAACAAGTTCGAGCCCTTTGCTTATTGCTGTGAAGATATTTTACATCGTTCACAAACATTGACAGGTTCAATGTTCTTATTTCAGGATAGAAGCATATTGAGTCAGCTGAAAATTTTTATCATAAACTGTTTTCATTAAGAGGTGTCTCTCTCCGCATAATTTCCAGTAGAAATTTGACAATTAGTTTTTCTGGTGTTCATGAGGGGTACCACAGTGGTGAGTTAAAAAAATACTGTAATAACAATTCAATATTTCCGCGGCAATATATGAAGGGCCTGAACTCTTTTCAAGATATCCATAGCTTATTAAAATCTACATGATGCATATAGTTCCTATTCAAAAGCGATTCATCACTCGGAGGACTTTCTTGATAAGTATCTTCGAGCTAGCAACATGTTTTGACAATTTGCCAATAGTGTACTTTCGATTGCAGACACAGTTTTATTTACGTTTGTGAGTTTGAACTTTTTTCATACGGAAGTAACTGATTGTTGGTCAAGCCGATTAATTTTCTCTATGAATTTGTACAGAAAAAAAAACTTCATTCAAATGAATATTTGAAATTTTCATCAAGAAAATCCTGGACATTAGCATTTTTATTGATCAGTTCAAATAATGTTGTCTCCGAGATGAACTTACTAGGAAGGATTGCCATAGTAGGGAACATCATATGACGCGTGTCTTTCAGTAACAGGTCAGTTTGTTTTAGGATGCAGAACCTGCAGAAAAAAATATTTGAGTGCTGCAGAACACTCTGGTCACCTGATTAATCATCATCTAATGAAGTTCTCGTTTAGTAGTGAAACTCATCGTGATTTTCCATTATTATCAATAGTACGCAGAATAGTACGTGCCATACAAATGACTAATGTTTCGGTAGAAAGATTATTTAGTTCAACGAGATCGATATTTACTAAAAGACGTACAACTTTGTCACTAATTCAAACTAATAAAATATTATCTATTCGTTCTTGGGAGAACTTCAAGAAAAGAAAACAATAAAAAGAAAACTTATCGTTTGTCGTTGTCCATTTGGTTACATTGATTAAAGGTTTATTAACATAATTTTTGTATCACTAATAGAAAGTCTATGATATTTGACATCGTATCTCATCATATACAGACATATTTTTATTATTATCAGAGATTCAATGAAAAGATCGTTCTGCAAGCCAGACGCAGGACGGTCCTTTGTCCTACCTGGACGACCATTTTGATGCCTTACCCACATTCTCTATATCGTAATGTGTCTGGTTGATATATCTTCTATCTTTTTAGTCATCACAAGTCGACGATAATGATCGTCCAACAGCAATTGATAGTGCAACAAATGCTATTCCACTAACAAATACTACCACAATGAATAATGAAAATAAATCCGGTTCAATTAATGATACAACTTCTCAAACAATATTACCAATAATTGTTCCATCATTTGATGAATCATCATCGAATATTCTTCAAACACATCAAATATCAACAAATGTTCAAGCAGAAAAACAATCTCAAGAAACAATAGTGACACAAACATCAACCAATAATCATGAATATATTAATCCACGAGGAATTAGATTTACAACAGCATCACCTACACCTGGACCTGTTAAAGGTAAAGATAAATAAAATCTTTCTTTAATATAAACATCATTCTTTTTTCAGATCCATTAACTCCATATGGTTGGCCTTGTGTTCGTGGTCTTTTTCGTTTTCTAACTACACTTATTAATAATTATGATAAGTCAGTTTTTTTTCTTTTTCCTCTTTTTTTTCTAATAAATATATTTTTTTTTTCGAATAGAAATAATACAGAATATATGATCACAGTTGGTTTGAATCTTTTAACTGTTGCATTAGAAGTTGGTGCAGATTATCTTGCTAATTATCCATTATTACTTTCAATAGTTAAAGATCCTTTATGTCGAAATTTATTAAGTGTAAGTTTAGTAATTATATTAATTTAATAATAATAGAAAAATAACTTTCTAGATGGTAAATTGTAATCGTATTCAATTATTTTCTGCTTCACTTCGAGTTTCATTTCTCATATTTGAAAGTCTTCGAACACATCTTAAATGTCAATTTGAAGTATGAAATAAATTTTTTTTTCTCATTTTCAAAAAACAAAAAAAAAATTTAATTTATCTGCATCTTTTTTTCTTGTGTATGTTTATTTTAGTTTTTTATAACACGTTTAATGGAAATAATTATATCTGAACAATTAAAAATAACTTATGAACAAAAAGAATTAGCACTTGAAACAATTGTTCAACTGCTACGGATACCTGGTTTACCAGCTGAATTATATTTAAATTATGATTGTGATTTATATTGTGAAAATTTATTTGAAGAATTAACTAAAATGTTATCAAAAAATGCTTTTCCAGTTGCTGGTTTAACATCAACACATATTCTTTCACTTGATGCACTTCTTTCAGTTATTGATCATATTGAACTTGAATGTCAATTTCAAGTGCAAAGACAAAAAAGTGATTGTATGTTGAATTATTAGTTATTTTTATACAGATTCATATCAGAGTTGTGTACTATGCCTAACAAAAAAACGAAGTGTGACAGTACAGACAATGGCAGCAATTCTAAAATAGCGACGAAGGCGATCACTGGCAAGAGGCCTTTTTTTACGAGTGACGCGACCGAGTCTAACAATTACTGGAAAAATATTTTTTCTGAAATTTCTCTTTCTTATATTTGTGACATTATAATAACTATTTCTTAAAAAAATCGTGTTTTATTTTTGAACGATCACGTATGAAAAACAAATATAAAATTGAAAATACCACGAAAGAATATTTAATTAGGCAACCCATATGATAATTACCGAGAAACTAACGACAGTTTGTTTTTTGAAAGTGTTGTATCATGATGTATTGTATCAAAACACATGAATATTTTTCATGTCTGTTAAAATTGACAGAATTTGAGTCGATTTCGGTGCACTACAATAATGTTGATGCGTCTGAGTCACCCTTACTAGCCACATAGCCAAAATAGATTCCAGCTATGAGATATTTATTATATATGTTACCACAAAAATTTTTATTAGCAAAATATATTATGGAATTGTTTTCTTCTCGATTAATTTGATTTCTTTCAAATAAATAATTCGAATTTGTGTAGAAAACACTCTCTGCAATCGTTTATACCCGGAACTGAAAGACGTAAGTACTACTATCGGTTGTTATAAGTACCATGGTATACCGATATTAGAGCAACATGAGCAGATATAATTAAATTCACTAAATTTTACATTAGGTCGATTTATTATAGGGATAATTTCTAATTAAAATTGGTTACAATTTTATTTGTAAATTTAAAACATGAATATCAACACGAGGTAACAAAACGAACGGTATTCCATAAGAAACAAGTCTATCAACGATTAAATCCATTTTTCTTAACTTTCATCATTTGATATACAATCGCTTAAAACAAAACAGTCGTAGCAATAGAGTTTAACAGCTAGTATGATAAAGGCATGGGCGATGCACATCTTTTTTTCAGATTAAACAAAAGGGGGAGAATAAGATTTCGTCAAACATTGTGTTTTATTTTTACGAATATTTTTAATTTTCTCATTTTTATAGTAAATGTAGCTAACGAAAGAACTACTTGAAGTGATTTATATCTTTTGATTCCATAATTAACTGATCTGTAAAGCAGAATAGCCCTAATAGGATATGAGTTATTTTTACGATTTAGCTAAGATATTGAAATTTCTGTGGAAAATTATATTTTCGATTGTTGATCTGAAATTTTCTCTGTATCACTATGTCAACTATATTCGACTGTGTAAAAAGAATTCAAAACTTTTAAATATAATATCATGGAGATTTAGATTTTTGAAAATATAGTTGCTTATGCATAGATATTGCATAAAAAATAGATATTTTGAAAAATCCAAATTTCGTCAATGTTACGATCAATAATGCTGAATTTTCTTTTTATACGGTCGAGTCTAGTTGACATGATCTACAGGTTCACTAGTTATGAACAATGTATGGAAGCAAAATATTTAAATCAATTCAGATGATTTCTTTGTAAATGAACTTTCATTCAAAAATCGAGAAATCTTTTGACTTTGAATCTTTTGTTCACTTCAATACAGTTCATGTTTTCTATTTAATTTGATCTTAGAAAAGAATACATCTTTTACGAATTACAATACCTTAATGATTTAATTTTAACATTGTTATCCATATATTTCCCATAGTTTCGTTGATAATACTAAAGACTTATCAAGCCATCAATGATAATATATATCTTTAGAATTTTCTTGTTTTCATATTGATTTTCAAAATTAGATCTAATCTATGGTCTATCGTTAAGGACTATCTTTTATCTAATATCCATATAATGCAGACATTTATCGATTATTTGTTAAAATAAGTGTTCAAAAAAACTGTCTATCTGTTATTAAGTTGAGAATTTTTCTAGATCCGAATTCGAGTCCAAGTTCATATTCAGATTTATTTAGTTTCGAGTTAAAATAGAGAAGAACTGACATGAACTTATCCAGATAAAGAGTTTCGGTTATAGTTCAACTTTAATTTGACTGTTTTCTAAGACGAATCAATAAATAATTAAAATCTTGATCGTTCATTTTGATCATGCACACAAGGAATATCACATATTGAGAAAAAAGAAACCTAAGCGTATAAGCATGAATTGGATCCGGATCTATAAAAACGTAGACCTGTAGCTTCCTCATATCTATAGAGTAAATATTTGATTGTTGTTATTTCTTTAGCGACAAGTCAATCATTAACACGTCCTATTCCATGTGGATATGCGTTTGCTCTTTCATTACAAAATATGGATATAAGTCGTTCTTCAGTACCTTGTGAATCTCGTCATGGACCACGACTTCGACAAAATCGAATGACAATATCTTCACATTTACCATCACAAGATGATCTTAAAAAAATGAAACATGATAAAAAAGTTTGATTTTATATAAAAATTTGATTTTTATTTATTTATTTAATAGTTATTTCGACAAGGTACAGAATTATTTAATCAAAATCCATCGTCAGGATTAAAATTTCTTCAAGAGAATAATCTTTTATCAAATCCATTAGATATTAATGAAATAGTTAAATATCTTAAAGATAATCCATTATTAGATAAAAAAACTATTGGAGATTATTTATCAAATAGAAAAAATATTCATGTACTAGAACAATATGTCAAGTAAATTTAATATTTTATTTTTAAATTTTTCTTATGGTTTTTTTATTTTTTTTTGTTAAAGAACATTTAATTTTGAAGATATGCGTATTGATGAAGCACTTCGAATTTATTTATCAGAATTTCGTTTACCAGGTGAAGCACCTTTAATTGGTGTTTTACTTGAACATTTTGCTGCTCGTTGGCGTGTAAGAAATTTTTATTAATTATAAATTCTTTCAAAATAATTTTATATTTTTAGGAATGTAATAATTTTGCACTTGCAAACAATGATGCTGCTTATGGTTTAGCATATGCTTGTATTATGCTTAATGTAAGTTATTAATTGTCAATAGAAAAAGTTATCTAGAGATAGAATATCGACAATCGATTGTTGTTACATTGGAAAATCGATTTAGAGTATTAGATTATGACTATTAAGATATTTTCGTCATATATTCTATATTACAGAAAAATAAAGTTGATGTTTTCTTTTTAGACAGATCAACATAATACAAATGTTCGTCGTCAAATTTTACCAATGACTTGTGATGTATAATTTTATTTATTTTATTATATAGAAAACAAAAACAATTTTTTATTTTTCTAAAAAATAAAGGATTTTAAACGAAATTTAACAAAAATGAATAATAATGAAAATTTTGATGAAGGAATGTTAACAGAAATTTATAATGCAATTAAATCTGATGAAATTGTTATGCCAGCTGAACATACCGGTCTTGTTCGAGAATCCTATTTATGGAAATTAATGCTTAAACGATCAATAACAATAGGAGAGAAATTTCTTCATGTTCCAACTGGTTCATATAATCATGATATATTTACATTAATATGGGGACAAACAATGGCTGCACTTTCATTTGTTTTTGAAAAATCAAATTATGATTTAGTTATTGAAAAATCTATACAAGGTTTTAATAAATGTGCAAGAATTGCTGCATATTATTATATGTCGGATGTTTTTGATAATTTGGTTATTTCATTATGTAAATTTACAACTTTACTTAATAATCGAGAAGTAAATTTTATTTTATTTTTATTTTTATTTTTATTTTGAAAATATTTTTTCTTAAATTTTCTATCCTATTGCAGATAAATGATGATTTGGTATGAAAAAAGAAAAACAGAACATAACCTCAAAGCAAATTTTTTCAGAAATACCACAAGAGCACTATTTTTTTTTGTCTTTTAAATTGAATTTTTTTATGACAAAATAAGAGATTGAGAATTTTTGTATTTTCTGATTTTCTTTTTAGTGGATTGAAAATTTGCCAATACAATTTGGTCTTAATAGAAAAGCACGTCTTGCTGCAACAGTTGTTTTTAATATTGCACATGTACATGGAGATATTTTAAGAGATGGATGGAAAAATATTCTTGAATGTATTATTCATTTATATAAAGCTAAATTATTACCATCGGCTCTTGTCGAAGTTGAAGATTTTCTTGATCCAACTGGACGAATAACACTTATTAAAGAACAAATTACGGAAACACCAAAGTAATTTTACATAAATGAAATTCTTTCACGTGATCCGATATTGTAGACACATACAATAGGATTTTTTAAGTTCAATCAGCAATTCGGATTTTTTAAATCTCAATAGAAAAGATGCTCAATCTTTTCTGTATTGTTGTCTTTATAGAATAGTATCAAGGACAGTTTCATTTTGAAAAAAAAATATCAGCTGTATCATTGGGCAGAATATTATTTGTGGAACATACCTATTTGCATAAACTAGTCATTCTCAAAGGTTCAGCTAAATAAAGTGCGATATGTTATAAAATATCGCAATAAAGTAACGCATGGCTGGTTCAAACTTCAGGTAGAATCTGAACAAAATTGAATAGAGAACTGGAAGTTTCAAGTAAAGTGTCTTCTACATTTAATAAAAATGCATTTTTATAATTATTTGATGTTTATATCTCAAAGGAAGCTCGTGGTGGTTGCTCCACACGTAGATACGCCCGCGACATATGCTTTCCTATAGCTCTTCATTAGAGCAAAGAGGAATCAAAAAAGTAGTGAAATTAGATATAGGTCACATCCCAAGGAAGGAAAAGTTGATTCTACGCCATTAAAATCATATAGGAGTCATTGGAATCAATAAAAGCATATATAATCAGCTGTTTTTCGCTCAATAATTCCCTGAGAACATCTAAAATCACCCTGTGTTTTCGTTTCATTGATATAGCAGATCGTTCTATCTAATTATAATAGTCAACTATCGAGAAATCGAGTATAAAGTTCCGAGAAACGCATTTCTCTAGTCCGAAAATCTTTAATCAAACTTTATAAAAAAATCATGATTTTGCTCTAATCACTATTTCTTAACGAAAGAATCAAATTCGGGAGTTTTCTGTTACTAAGTGACTCATTATGTGGCAATATAACGATAGTTTTCCTCTCCTATTCCGATAACCAGAATCGTTTTAGAATCAGTTGGAATTAGCAGTTTCTTTCTTACCATATCTTCACCCTTAGCCACAAATAAATCTCCACCCTGATACTATCCTTCATCATCGGCTCAATATTACAAGAACAACTGTTATCGAGAAGTATCGTCAAAGCATCTGTTTAGAGTGTAATAGTCATGTTATCCTACTGAGAAGATTGCATTTAATTTTCGCAGCGTTTGTATATGTCAAAGTTCGTATCTGTGCCATATTGACTAAATAAACTAACTCCTTCTGAGAGTTCTTGACTGTCTTCAGGGCTAGAAAGAATGAAAAATTTGGCAGAAAGTATGAACATTTTTACAGAAGTGTATCTTCATTTGACTATCTAGTAGACGCTAAACAAAAAATACTGAAATTATCGAATTTTTGAGATATTTTTTCTGACAGAAAGTGTCTTTATATAAATACCAGTCAACAGCAGAGTTGAAATCACTAAAAATACCCATGCTGTCTAAAATTTCATAGAAAGCTCCGTCATCTCTTCTTTAATCATCGATCCAACTTCTGCTTCTATCAATATTTCTCTGACCTTCATTCATGATTCTTATTTCAAAAGAAATGTTCGTTTTCTTTTAGAACTGATACTGGTTTATTTTCATCTCTTGCATTTTTACTTGGTGGTGGTGGTTCAAATGATTCAACATTATCATCTGGTAAACAACCAACAACTGAAGAACAAGAAGCAATTAAAGTTGCTTCAACATGTATAGAAGAATGTCATTTAGAACAATTATTACAAGAAACAAAATTTTTAATAATTGATTCTTTAAATGAATTATTAAAAGCACTTATATATGGTTGTCAAATATTTCCAGATTCTCAAAAACTTGATCAAGATGCTGCTGTTTTTTGTCTTGAATTACTTGTCAAAGTTGTTTTACAAAATCGTGATCGTGTTACAATATTTTGGCCAACTGCTCGACATCAATTTTATTCTACACTTGTTAATGCTAATACAAAAACATTTTTTATTGAACGTACTTGTATTGGTTTATTAAGAATTGCAGCAAGACTTTTACGACGAGAAGAATTAGCTTCTGAAGTAATTTTATTTTAAATGAAAATTTTTTATTGTTTTTTTTTTTTGTAAAAATATTTATTTTTCAAGGTACTTAATTCACTCCGCATGCTTCTTCTAATGAAACCTCATGTTATTTATGGATTATCATCTGAAATAGCTTATGGTTTACATGAACTTCTTCGAACAAATGCAGCAAATATACATAAATCTGAAGATTGGTTTATATTATTTTCTTTACTTGAAGTTGTTGGAGCAGCTGCTCATCCACCTTCTATACTTCAATCAACAACAGAAAATTTATCATTAAATAAACATATTCATCAAAATTATTCAACAACACATGCTGAATCGGATACTGAATGTACTGATTGTTTAACAACAAGTACAAGTGATAAAGGTTATACAAGTGATTCAGAAATTTATCGTCGTTCAGATTATATAGTTGTATCACATAATGATTTTGAAACATTTCGAAATCAATATGATCAATATTCACGACATGATCGTCGAGCATTAAATAAATCATGTGAAATATTATCATTTATTATTCATGATGTTGCATATGTAACACAAGAAAATTTTGAATATTGTATACATTGTATACGAACATTTATTGAAGCAACTATTATACAACCATCAAATAAACAAATATCAAAATTAACAACAAATAATAATAAAAATAATCGAAATATAAAACAAATTCGTAAAGCAACATCATCAAGTTCTTTAAATAGTGAAAATTTTAATGAACAAATAAATAATCAAATAAAACAATCATGTTCTGATTATGATGATGATGATAATACGCAACAATCAATTAAACAAGAATATCAAACAATTGCTTTACAATTATTAGATTTAATGCATACATTACATATGAGAGCAGCACAAATATATAAACAAATACCAACTGATCAAACAATATCGAGTGTTTTATGGTATAAATGTTGGTGTCCTATTTTACAAGGTTAGATATTTTATTTTTAGTACATAACAATCGGAATCAAAAATACATATATATATATATATTTATTCTTCTAAAGTGACATTCCTTGTTTTTCATAAATATTTCAAATTCAATCTGATGAAAATTAGGTGTATGCAAGTAATGAGCGAGACCAACTGTTTCTGGTCCTGGTTTTGCGTTAAGTAATACATGTACTAACAAAATGTACGATATCACTTTCTAGCAATGTCAATGAGCTCGAGACATTTTGCACGGCCCGTATCATCTTTAATATTTTCTCTCTTGAAGATTGATTATTTTTTTTTAATTCACTAATACTTCGTCTATTTTGCATGTTTATGCGTTCGACAAATATTTTATTTACGAAAAAAAGGATTCATTTTATAATCAAAATTGTAACAATAAATACTGAACTGACTATTACTCAATAATTTTCGTATAAACTTACAGAACATATGAGTAGTGCAAATATGATATTTGACACAAATCTTATACGACCGTAAAAAATATCACTCTGAATGAAAATATGTTGGTCCTGATTCTAGCGGAACCGGGACCATCTTGTTCACATCTGGTGTCTACTCATTATTGATATCTCAAAACTGTAAATAATGATGATTTAAATCTAAATCGAGGATATATTATTCAAATCGATGTTTATCTTATTTTTGTTGTTCTTCGATCAATAAAGTTAATTCAGCCAGCGATTGTTTCGGATTTATTTCACCATTTCTAAACTTAATATTCAATGTTATAAATTGCCATTGAAAAGCTGTTTTGTTTGTTGATTGCTTCGAATTCGATGCCTCAGAAAGGTATGAGTGGGTGTGAGTGTAGTTGTGCATATTCTATCACATTCTTTAGATGTTTTCCTACTTTTTTTTTCGACGTTTTGCCACCAATTAGCTTTACCATACGATGAGGAATTAGCAAGAAAAATAGTGTAAACAAAAATCTTCTGTTTAATTTTCTTGATAATAACGCATCCTATGATAAAAATCGAACAGAACTGTCGTATCTTTGTAGAGAAAGTCTATGAAACATGTATTCTTCTTGTAGAGTTACTCTAGTTTAGAATTTTTTTTTCTTCTATGCACTCAAAATATGAGTTCTTTTGTTCTATGAAGCATCAATATCTGTAAATGATTCTGTTTCTAATTGAAAGACATGTTTATAGATTAAGTTCGTTGAAATTTTTAAATATGATTTTGTTTTGAAAATCATATGAAACGAAGTTTTCATAAGGTTATTATTTTATGATTGTATCTTTTTTATAAGCAAGATTTTTTTGTTTTAAATTATAATCTAATAAGTTCATACTATATGAAATAAAGCAAAAATAAAAATCATCACTTGACAAAAATTTTCCATACCCAAATTTTTAAGAAAGTATTCTCGCGTTAGAAATGAAAGATATCGACAGACAACTATGACTTCATTTTTAAGTTATTTACTATTCAATGAAAATTACAATTGTCAAAATCAATTCGATAAAATTTAAATTGCTTCTGTATTTAGGTATTACTCGTCTTTGTTGTGATTCTCGTCGTGCAGTTCGTTCATTAGCACTTGGTTATCTTCAACGATGTGTTCTTTTACCTGAACTTCATATTCTTTCTTCAATAGAATGGGAATCTGTATTTAATAAAGTATTATTTCCTTTATTACTTAAATTACTTGAAACAACGAATATAAATGATCATATACATGGAATTGAAGAAACACGTGTACGTGTTTCACAATTATTATGTCGAATATTTTTACAACATCTTACACCATTATTAATATTGCCAACATTTACAACAATATGGTTAACTATTTTAGATTTTATGGATAAATATTCTAAAATAGATCAAACTGATATGTTGGTAAGGATGATTTATCATAAAAAATACAAAGAAAATTAAAAAAAAATGAATGATTTATTATTTTAGCGTGAATCTGTTCGTGAATCAATAAAAAATATGCTTTTAGTTATGAATACAACTGGTTTATTTGATGATAATCAATCTTTAACAGTGATTACAAAAGATAGAATTCATAGTTTTTTTCCTGGTCTTTGGGAAGAAGTTTTTAAAATATCAACACCACCACAAATACCTTCTCCAACTACAGAGGTAATTCGACAACAATCAATATTTTCAAAAATTTTTTAATTGCATTCTAGTCGGTTGTATTACCTACTATGAGTGGTGATAGTAATACTCCATCGAATGAATCGACAACATCGGTAGTATCAAGTAAGTCTGCCTTTTTATTTTTTCTTATTAACTCGCTTTTGTGAAACACGATCTAAAAGGAATGTTGAAATATATGGGATAGAAATTTGTATCCTTCCTTCCCACAGACCATGACAGACACCTTACCAACACCACATCCGTCATAGACTGTGGCAGACGCTGTTAATATGTGATCAAAGATCGTATACCAAAAACGTGTTGTTATAATATATGACCTACTTCCAAGAAGAAAAACGATGTACTCCAGAGAGTACGAGAGTACAGTGAAAGTAGAGTGGAAGCATGTGAGGTATAGCAAGAAAACTGCGGGAGTATAATGGGCAACAGAGAAAATACAAGACTTCGGACTATTGAAGTCTTGCCTTTCTTCCCTAACAATGGAAGTACGAGATTACATCGTTATCTTCTTGGATTTAGGTCTAGATTTGTCTTAGTTATAAAACTGTATTTCATGAGTTTGTACATTCCCACTATACTCATACGCTCTGTACTCCGAAGTACGTCGTTTCCTCTTTGATTACTTCCTTATTCGATTTCTAGAGAATTAAGTAAAATATGTTACAAAATAGATAGAATAAAACAATCTGTCTATGGTTAACAACGACAATTGCATTTTGTTTCACATTTTAATCTCGCAAGAATTATGCTAGCCATTTTTTTGTAATTTGATGCATATATTAATTTCTTTTTTCTTTTTTAGATGAAACAATAATCAATGAACCAACTCCTTCAACTAATGTATGAATTTTTTTTTCTTGCACGACAACTGCTTAGAAAATTAAAAAAAAACAGTGAGAGAGAAATAATTGAGTTCCTACATGGTTTCTTATAGGTTTCTACTTGTATTTCATCTTGATCTTTTGAAATCTACTTTTATCTATTATTTTCCAAAGAAAAAAGAAGGTTAGAATTATTTTATTTATTAAACCAGAGTATAAAACACTTGCATGCTTGTATCTATTATCTTTTTAAAAACCTGAATAATTGTTGTGAGCATTTTTGCATAAAAAGATCTGGTAAACTTTGGTTATCATTATTAGAAAAATCCTTAGGATTTAAAAATATTAAAAAGTTCTATTGCTTTCTAATAATGAAAATTTCATCTTGCTAGTTCTTTTCCTTGTTGCGTTATAACAAAAAAAAAAGGCTATCGATTAGTGTTTATTTAAAAGAAATAATTATTTCTTTAAAATATGTTTTCATTTTAGACTCGATTTTTACCAGCTCAAATACAAAATTTGTGAACATTGTATTAATTTATTTGAATCAATTTTTTGGCTACCTAATTCATTTATAAATAAAAAAAAAAAGAGACAACCAGAATTGATATAATCCTGTATTTTATTTATTTTCTTTTGTTTAATTTGTATCATTTGGATTCTAATGATTCTTTTTTCTCTCTTATTATTCCTTTAATTTTTTTTCATAAATTTTGTAGCCAATATATCGGCTAAAAGTAAAAACATAAATAACAATTGCTATCGAATTTATGTAAAACAGGAAAGATAAAGTCATTCAGTATTTTAAATAAAATTCTAATACATAATAATGATTTCTCAATGATATGTTGAACTGATGAAAATATATGTAAACGCAACATACAAGTTCATCACTATCATAGTTCAAGAAGTATGTATCGTATACATCTACAGCAGGGCTTGAAGTGGGTCGCTTGGCTCGAACTTTATTATTTTTTTTAAAGAAGATTTGGTCTGATACACAGTTACTTAAACAAAAGACACAAGCCGAACTGAATTCATTGACTGATATGCCTAATGAATTATCATCGAAGTTTGAACATATTTTTATTTTATCGGATATTCTTAATAAACTTCTTAACCCTTTACAGCCGGATGTATCCATTTGGATACATGAAGTCAATGTTTTACGAAGAAATAACTTGTAGTGATGATATGAAATGTTTTGACGATTTGATAAATAAGTTAACACATTTCAGCACACATTCACGTGTTTAGAAGAAGGAAACAACACTCACTAAGAAAATGGCCGGCTCTGTACAAAATGCTCCAAAATAGCGTCCGTATAGAAATAATCCTTTTCTCGTGTCTCTAAATAATCAAACTTCGAAGCAAGCAGTTGTTAATTTTCCTTCATAGACCTACTGTCTATTGGATCACTAAGACGGATTATTTAAAAAATCCGAATAATAAAAAATGGGAATGTATCCATTTGGATACATCCGGCCACTAAGGGGCAAGAATTTTGAAAAAGTCATTTCTTTTTGTCCAGCAAAATTTGATATTTTATGGTTTTTCTTACATCTATATTTGTAGATGAAATCACACGTTGCCTGTTTGTCGATGTTTTGCAGTCCAAAGCTTAAATATTTCTAGAATGTTCTAAGATTCTGCAGTATAGTGCAATAGTAGCTCAATTTTTTTCGATAATTTTTATAAATTCAGGAATATTGTAGAGAGTTGCTGAATATTTCGTGATAGCCTAGTTTGGAACACTAGAAAATGTTCAGAAACTCTTTAGAATGTTTCTGAATTTCTAAAACTTTTTGGAAAAAATTGAGCTACTATTGCACTATACTGCAGAATCTTGGAATATTCTAGAAATATTTAAGCTTTGGACTGCAAAACATCGACAAACAGACAACGTGTGATTTCATCTACAAATATAGATGTAAGAAAAACCATAAAATATCAAATTTTGCTGGACAAAAAGAAATGACTTTTTCAAAACTTTTGTCCCTTAGTGGCCGGATGTATCCAAATGGATACATGAAGCCATTAGATGCCGAAGCACTTATTGGTTCTGAGAACTAAACTTTTCCTATCTCCATGGTCTAGGAGCAACGAAAATCCATAAAAAGACTTTTTTGTTACTTGTCTTCTAGTAGTCGGCTGGAAAGGGTTAATAAATTGAAAAAAAAATGGTGTGTTGATACACATTAAAAAAAACTGATCAAATCGTTAAAAATAAATGTCGCGAAATGAATCAGAAGATTGAAAACAGAAGTGTCCATAGGACAGGACGATATCTCCATGCCCTGAAAATTCCACATACTAACTTTTATTTTGAAAATAAGAGTGCTTTGATTTGTCTCAAAAATGCGAAGAATGAGATAAGCAATGCAGATGGCATTATCAAGTGATATCTAAGACTATTATATTCATATAATGAACGTACAGTCCAATCGAAGTAATACAAAGAAAAAAAAAGAAAAAGAAAATCATAACAATGAACATATATTTCTAATTGTTGCTCATCTTCTTTTACTTCAATACGACAAACACAAACAAAAATTATTCGATCAATATCATCATCTGCTGATTTACATCTCAACACTTCCTGTTTCTTTTTCGTTAACACATTCGCAAGAACATGAATCGTGTCGTTTCATTTCTTTGTCTATGGCAATTGTAGTACTTCAAAACGGTTTTTGTCGACCTCTCTCTTATGAATATGAGCTATGAAGATTGCTTAATCAATAGCAGAAGAATTAGCCTCTTCGATCAAATTATGGCAGAGATCGTCAATTTTTTCTGCAGTAAATGAGCTATTGACCGCCTTACTTGTGTGACTCACCGGTGGGCCACATAGCCTCGAATGTATTAACGGAACTAACCGATTACAACGACTGGTACAAAGAGAAAAACAAAATTTTGTATTTTAAATAATGAATCAACAAAAAGGAATTTGACTCCTGATTTAAAAACCAGATATTAAAATATTCGTTTTACTTTGCAGGGCGGCCTGCCCTGTCTTGTCCTTCATCATAGGGTAGGGCAGAGGAGGGCGATAAAACGTGCTCTGTGGACACATTTAGCTCTTAATTATTGGTGAAATAAAAAAACACATCAAACTTGATTCATTTCAAAACTGTAAAAAACCGTCTATGAATTGGAATTAGTGATTTTCTATGGAGTTCAAACGATTTTTAGCAGTTATAAATAGTTATTTTTAACAAATTTTAGATTGAATTTGAGTGATTCTCTACGACTCTGATGACTTCGGCGGTTTATGGCAAGTTACATACTTTTAAGTGATTTTTATGATTTAATTTTAATCTGTGACGGATTTAAATTAATTGTTTTCCCCCAATATTAGTTGTCATTGAAAATACGGTGTTTGAACATCAATAACTATATCAGAATGAATATCAACACCGATTCTTTTAATGCATACATGCCGAAGAACAACGATTAAGGATAAAGATAACGAGCAACTAAGTGATCAATAGTGGTAATATGGAAATAAGCGAACTATCATTTCACTGTTTACTAAATGGATAAATGAAATGTGAAAAGGCAAAAGATATCACAATCAAAATAATATGTAAGACAAAATGAAAAAAAGCATGAAATTTTGGTTGCTGATTGTTCTTGATCTTTTTTCTAGGCAAACACATAGCATTACTTTTAATGCGTCACTGAGATAGTATTTCTGTTTTATTGATAGTTCTATATTTGAGTAAGACAAACTTAATGAAGATGACTTATTGTCGTTCGTTTCAAATGAAATAGAATACTTGCGAATGAATAAGAATACTTAGATCACAATAATTAGAGAATATATAATATTTACAAAGTAAAAAAAATTTTGTCTAAAATCAGTTTGATATATTTTTGAAGTCTGTTGAAATAAAACAAAAAAAAAATAACATTTGTTTAAAAAAACTTTTTTATGGCTAAACTAATAAAAATCAATAAACTTGTGGATATTATCATTTTCCATCCAATAAATAATCTCCAATCGAAATGATTAACAGCTTCAATATTGTTTCCATCAGCATCGATCACAAAAGCAGCATAATAAAATCGATGATATTGTGGACGAACTCCAGGTGGTCCATTATCTTTTGCACCATTCTTCAATGCAATACGATAGAAATCATCAACTTGTTTACGAGAGTTAGCCACAAATGCAATATGAGTACCGATTCGAGAACCTTCTTCATTTGAAATATGTGTAGGATGGATCCAGAACGATGGAAATCGTTTACCAAAACCAACTGCTTTGTTACCTTCAATGATAAGTATCTTTCTATAACCTAACGTAGATAGAATAGCATCATAGAATGAAACTGTTTTCGGAAAATCGAATGTATTAATAGCAATATGATCAATCGACATATCTAAAAAAAGAAATCCTTATCGAAATAAATTAATCAATTTGATCTAATAACAAATATGTAATCGATATTTAAATAAATAATTGGGATTTTTATTAATACGCATATACATAATATAATACTACATTATATTGCACATATATATTAACAATCATGTAATCAAAACACTAATGTCGAAGAAATATGAAAATGAAGAATGTTGAAGGTTAAAATTGATTTATTTTCTTTTTAAATGCATTCACTAACAAAACACGTGTTAGTACATAGCGAAAGACGATTAAATCTAAGGAAGAAAAATATGTTCTTCTCCATTTCATCTAAGATATATATCATCTTTATCACAAGCAGAAACTTATTTTCGCTAGTTTTTTTTTTTTTATCTTACTTATCAAATGAAGAAGAAGCACAGAATATCACACTTGATAACAATTACACATCGAATTCATACTCCAAAAAAAGAACTTGTTGAGAAAGTCAATTACACATAGTGTCGTCATATATTGTTTGTCATAGCAAGAACTAAAATATATTTGATAATATATCATTGAGGCAGAATAAACTTTGTTTTGTAACAAGAAAAAGAAAGATAAAATGAGAATACCAAAAAAAAAGGTCTTCATTTCGTTATCATTTGAACTATGATTGACACTAGATTTTCTATAAAACTTATTGAAACATTATATTAGAAAAGAGATGAAATTTAACAATTTTCGAAAAAAATATTGATAATATATATTCGCTATTTCTCGATATAACAAAGTCTCTTTGATCAGTGTACTAAGCAGAACTAGGATAGATACCCTTGGTAGAATTCAAATTTTTCCATTATAATTCTTATGCTATTTGAAATAAGTACATGCCCAATAGGCTTTTTTATTTGTATCATGGAGGACTACAAAAAATATCATGTAGGCTTTTCTGTCATCAGTCGTATTCATTAGAAAATTATGTTCAAGTACAGCTAGACTTTGTACTTCTTAATATTTATAATTTTTAGAACTATTATCGAATTTTCTGGAGCCTGTCAACACCTTGAAAAGGTTGGTGTACATAAGAACATAATTAAAGAATGAATTTTTGAGAAAATCGAAAACTTTCCATGCGCCAAATGTGAAGTGAAATCTTCAAATCCGTATGATGCTTTTTATGAATTTCTAAGAAGTACATTTTAAGCTACCAGAACCTTGTCCCACTTCTTTCTCACAGAGATACAGGAGGTAATGGTCGTACGATGCTTTTCTGAATTTCTGTAGCGTAGGTGAAATTCGAATTGAGTCTTCCATCAATCTTTTATACCGAAGTTCATTAGGCATAGTTATTTTACATGTAACAGTAATGATGGATAGCGACAACAAAATTGTTAGGGCAACTGAAAGTACAACAGTATAAGTGTCATCGCCTCCACCATTTAATGCCCAGAATAAGTCGACAGTTTCACATGCACTTATTATTTGACGCTACTCATCTGCAATCACAACAACACATTCGAGTATCTCATTGGCAGCCATACTTTTTCAACATGATACAATACTACGCCCACTATGTTGCAAGTAATCAACAGCCGCACTTACTGTACTTGATACTTCTTCAACTACTACCAAATTGAGCTCATTCAGCTATCTGTAGGTCTCATCTCATTGAACATCTGCACCTATACAAACAACATTGGTTATATTCAAGCCAATAGTCTGATTTGGTGTTCGGACCGAACTATTCACGTTCAGTAGATGGTCGAACAGACCAAATGGTTCGGGTTTGGGTTCGGTAGGAAAAATTAGCTTTTCAATTCTGCGATTTCTTGCAACATCCTACTCACTATGATACCCATTCATAATATATTTAAGAGAGAATATTAGAATAGATTGTATCTATATCTTTAATCGATCAACATAGCTACAACAAACAGCAGAGGAAGTCATTTGGCAGATATAAGAGAAAACTTTTTAATCTGTATCTGAATGTTTTATAACAGATACGGTGAAAAGCAAATGAACAAAATAAGGCAACATTGATAAGAGTATGCATACCTCTATTATTGCCAAACTCATTTGTACATATCAATTGAACACGAAATCAAATCCAGAACTCAGGTCAAACTCGAAACTTCGGATTCGGGGCATATCTAAACGACAACATCACTGATTCTATTATGCTGCTTTTGTGATGAGATACTGATGGAAATAATATTGAAGTTATTAATCGTTTCGATCGGAGATCATCTATCGAATAAGAAACTATCATGTTTACAACTTTATTGATTTTTATTAGTTTAGTCATAAAATAATATTTTTTTTAACAGAACTTCACTATCTATGCATTATTGAAATATAGAACTATCGATAAAACAAAAATAACATCTCAATGAAGAAGAAGAATAATGTATACAATATAACTTATGTTTTCAAACCATATTAAAAATGAATTCAATTTATTGTTCTTCAACTCTGCAATATTTTTAGATGGAATCCGCGACAAAATGTTTTCGTTCGATGATACAGATATCTGCTATAATTGCTGTGCATAATTGAACAATCGGATTCATCTCAATTGAATTATTAACATGAATATATTTGAGAGACGATCAAAAGAATAACTTGCTAATGATGCGATCAATGTTCATGTTACAAGTAACGCCACGCATGTTTAGACTATGGAATTGGTTCTTTTCTTTCATTCTTAGACACGAGTAAATGGTAGCTACGAATCAAGATTGGTATTCGGTAACCAAACAGTTTGGTTCTAGATACGGACAAACTATTTTATGTACATTACCTACAAGTAATAGATGTGTTTCGTCAAGACTGTTGACATTGTTAATGAAGCATTTTTTCTTTTCTTTTTCGTACTACACGTTTAGTATTTGCATTGCGTTTGCCTAGAAAAAAGATTAAGAATAACCAACGATGATAATTTTATTATTTTTTCATCTTGTGTTATATACTATCTTCACTGTCCTATTTGTTGTCTCTTCACATTTTGTTTATCTATTTAGTTAACAGTGAAATGAAGGTTCGTTTATTTCACTCTACTTTTATACTGTTACAATTAATTATTATGTTGCTCGTTGCCAAAAGCAACAGTCATTGTTTTCAACATTTTAATACATCGAACTCATCATCGTCGTTTTCATCTTCAGTTATTGTACCTCATCATATACGCATTCAACACATTGATGTTGATACTCATCCTGATATAGTTATTGATGTTCAAACACCACACTTTTCATGGCAGTTAGCTCAGGAATATGATAGTGATGGTCGTTTGATAAGAGGTACAAAACAAGTATCCTACCATATTCTCGTTACCACTTTCATCAGTAATCAACTCATGTGGGACAGTGGTCATGTACTTTCCTCTTCATCCACACATATCGTTTATGCAGGTATACCATTCACATCTGACACACGCTACACAGTTACTATCAAATATTATACTGCACAATATGAAAGTCAATGGTATACTACTCATTTTCGTACTGCACTCTTTTCATTGACTGACTGGTCAGGCGAATGGATTGGCAGTAATGATATCAATATGAATCAATTACGAACTGTTGTTACGATTCAATCAATCGCAATTCAATCAGCTACTGCTTACATCAGTGGTATTGGTTATTATCAGTTGTATATTGAAGGAGAATTAATTGATAAGACACGACGATTAGATGTTGGATGGACTACATATCAACAACGTACACTTTATGTTTCATATGATTTAACTAGTGTATTAAACACAACTGGCTCTATAGGTATTGGAATCGTCTTAGGTCAAGGTTGGTACAATCGTCAACAATGGATTATTGGTCCAGGTGCACGTCCTGATCTTTCTGAAAAATACGGTTCACCACGTGTGTTAATGCAACTAAATATTCAATATATAGATGGTACAAAACAGTCTATTGTTACCGATTCATCTTGGTTAGGTCGAGAGAGTGAACATCGTTATGATTCCATATACATGGGTACAACTATGGATTTTCGAGTTGCACGTTCATGTTGGTCATGTGCCAATTTTACTGATCAATACTCCTTATGGATAAATGCTTCCATATTATCATCACCAGTTAATTTTACAGCTGGAGGTCAATTATCTTTGCAATCCATGGATCCTATTCGTATTGGTCCTGATGCACTACATATTGCTACATCAGGTAGTTTGGGTAATGTAGATGGAGTAAAAGGTGCTAGTCTTACTGATGGTGGTGTACTTAAACCGATTTCACAAGATTCAGTGAATGGACAAGTGTTTGATCTTGGTCAAAATTTCGCTGGTTGGTGTAAATTATCTTCACTTAATGCTTCAAAATCTACTATCATTCAATTGCGCTATGCTGAATTTCGATATTCAACTGGACAAAATGGAATTGATTTTGCTGGTTTATATTACGAAAATTTAGCTAATATAGCTGTAATGGATACAGTAATCTTAAATGGAACAGGCAATGAAACATTTGAACCATTATTTACTTATCATGGTTTTCGATATTTATTAGTAAATGGATATGATAATATTAATAAAGATAATATTGAATGTTATAACGCACATAGTGAAACAAAATTTATTGGTAATTTTACAAGTAGTAGTGATATATTAAATCAAATTCAACATAATATTCTTTGGTCTCAATTGAGTAATTCAATGTCTTTACCAACTGATTGTCCACAACGAAATGAACGCCGTGGATGGATGGGTGATGCTGGACTTAGTATTGATGAAACATTATTTAATTTTGATTATGTTAACTTTTATCTTAATTTTTTGACGATGATTTCAGATAATCAATCGCCTGATGGTGCAATAAGTGATACAGTACCATTTACAGTAGGTTTTAGTCCGGCTGATCCTAACTGGGGTACAGCATATGTGACAATTACATGGTATTTATATGAACATACAGGTGATATTACTATTATTGAAAAATATTATAGAGGTATTCAAGCATGGATTGATTGTTTAACTAGAGAATATCAAAAGACTGGCTTAGCTAAAATGTATTATTATTGGGGTGATTGGGCAACAGTTCAGGAAACATCTAATACTTCGTTAGTTTCTTCTTATGCTTACCTTCGTGATGTTTATACATTTATTAATATGAGTAAAATTCTTAATCAAACTGATATTATACAAAAATACACACAATTATATCAACGATTGGCCGATGAATTTCATCGTGTCTTCTACAATACAGCTGTTAATGGTTATGTTGATGAAAGTCAAGCAATGAATATACTTGCACTTGCTTTGCCTGATGTCGTTCCAACATCACTTCGTACAGCTGTACTCAATTTATTAGTTAACAATATTACCACAATTGGCCATTTTACTGGAGGTATTGTTAGCGTTGCTCCTTTATATCCTCTTCTTTCAAAGGAAGGATATCATGATTTAGCCTTAAAACTTGCGTTAGCTACATCTTATCCATCTTATGGCTATATGTTTCATAATGATATACAGAATGCTACAACTACATGGGAACTTTGGAATACATTACCACAAGGAGCAAGAGCATCATTAAATCATCATATGTTTAACAGTATTGGTTCATGGTTTTATCGATATTTAGCAGGAATCGAATTAAATGCCCTTAGCACCATTTCTATTTATCCTCGTATGTCTTATGATGCTGATTTATTGACTGATGTAAAAGCTGAAGTGGTTACTATCAAAGGATCAATTCGAGTAGAATGGTCAAGAATATCTGTAAATATTGTGATATTATCAATTTCTATACCAACTAATATCGATGCAATTGTTTCATTCGATCCATTAATTAAGAAAGGACGATGTATGACATTGATATGTGATGATGAAGTCATTTGGATGAGAGAAAGAATGAATGATAAATTGACATTATTAAAAGATGTGCGTGGAATGAAAGATTTGAGTGAAAATGAGTTAACAGGTACAATGTCAATTAGAGTAGTATCAGGTGAATATACATTTGTTGCATATTGGCAATAAAATACACTCCTTTATCATTGCTCTCATTTTTATCATGAAAGGTGGTGAAGGATTGATAAAGAAACAGATTAAACTGCAACAAAACATCATCAGTCTAGCGACGTAGAATGTTTACTGTAATAGTTTAAACTAAAATATAAAGCGCTGGAAAAGATTTGTTCAAAACAAAGAATAGTATTTTTGTAAGAGTAATTGTATAATTTGAAAACAATGGAAAATTGTCTAAAAGCTTAGTGAGAAGTATCATTCTTGATTGTTCTAGGAAAGTATCAGTTGTCAATGCTATTTATGGTACAACAAGAACTTTGTTTTTTTTTCGTTCACAGTTCAAATCGATTCGAAGTTTTCATTAGACGTGGATCGAGTATTCTTGAAAAGAAAAAATTACTTTTCTTATCATGAACACTTCGATTAATTGTTGGTTAAAAATAACTTTTAGATTAATACATTAAAAAGATCGTCTTGCTGAAATGATAACAAATGATATGTAATGAGACCTCAGCAAATTTCACGTATAGTAAAGATTAAAATCGCATGATCGTAATAATAAATACTATTTGATCTCGAAAGTACAGTTTTTGTTTAGGAGTTTTTACTGCTTCAGTGGAATAGAAACGTCAAAGAAGGACATCTTTTTTTTGATTCTACTGTACACCGACAAAATTAAATGTTTATTTGGTAAGAAGAAGCATATGTTTCTCGAATAAAGTTATGACAAAATAAAACATATGAGTCAATACATCATATATTTTCTGTTCTGTTGTGAAACTTGTACGTTGCTGATGCAACTCTAGACAATTATTTCGTATAAATAAGTCGAAGAAAAAAAACAGAACGATATAACATACTATTGATTGTCATGTGTCCTGTCATTTTCAATCAATTAGAATTGTTAAGTAATGAATTATTACTTGATATTTTTGAATATCTTGATGCATACAATTTGTATCAAGCTTTTTATGGCTTGAATCATCGTATTAATGATCTTCTTCAATCGACTCATTTACATATGATTTGCGATTCATTAAATGAAAATGAAATAGATTGGAATACACTTAAATCATGTATCAATCCATCACAAATTCGTATATTATCTTGTTATAATGATATTAACATAGATAATCATTTTTTATCTTCTGTTAAAGAAAATCTACGGTCAGTTCGTTTACGTGAAATGAATCATGAATCGATAAATACAATATTTCAACATTTTCCAAGTGGTAATCAAATTAAATGCTTATCTATTAGAGAACATTGGTATTATACAAATTCAAATAGTCATTGTCTCTTTCATTCTATATTAGTCGATAATGCTGATCGTTTTACTTTACTTGTTAATCTTTCACTATCCTGTAGTCATTATGTAGATGTTTTTCCTACTGTTTCAGTTCAATTTTTACAACTCCGTCATCTATCGATTAATAACTATTATTGGTCAACAAATTTTCTTCAATTTCTTCAAAATAATGTACCAAACCTCAAATCACTAAAATTTATTGGATATTATAATGTATTGAATCTACCATCGGATTTTGCTTTGAAGCACGTTGATGAACTGCATATGAATAATTCCGGTAGCTTCGGTCAATTGCAAAATATACTTTCTGTGTTTCCTTGTTTACGTCGACTTCATATAGATCAGCAAAACAATAGACAACTTCCAATTATTAATGGTATTCAATGGCAACAGTTGATTGAAAAGTATTTGACTAATTTAAAACAACTTACTATTGATTATGGTAACGGGATTGATGAAGAAATTATAAAGACATTCTATACAAATGAGTTTTGGTCAACGAAAAAAGTCAAGGTTAAGATGATAGTAAATAAAACACAAGCTCGATATCCACTTGTTAAAACAATTTATTTTGGCCAACAATGGCAGTTTAGATACTTTGATAACTTTGATTTGTAAAATATGTTATATTATGAATTAATGTTTTATAATAAATCTACTGATGAATGACTGATACAGTGTTTTGCTATGTATATTTGACATGAGTGAATTCTCTTACTGTCAAAGTGAAACTTGAAATTTTTTCTGTCAGATTAAATTCAATATTCTTTGTAAAAAAAAAAAAGATGAACTATTGATACTGTATTTATGACTATGAAGTCTCTTATTAAGTAGATTAAAAAATATCCAAATATTAAATCATTGACATCAAATAGTTCAGTAAGGTGTCGAAGTCTATTCAATGATTCATCTATTTATGGAATAATTCTATAATGTTTCAAGTTAAAACGTTAATATATTCATTTTTTTTAATACACACTTGTTTTTATTATAAACGAGAGTTCTTATCTAAACTCAGCTTGATAAAGGAGTGCTAAATAAATATTCTAGATCATTGTTTTTCTATAATTTTGTATTGTTGAATCATACCTATGTGGAAGCCAATCTTTCAGAAAATACGGATGAAGAAGAAAAACGTAATATTGTTTCAAAAAATTAAACCGTATTAAAAACAATAAGATTGAGATTGTTTAAGTATTAATGATATAATGAACATTGAGTATTATTTGTCAGCGGTAGTAAAATGAAAAAGAACTTTTAACTATATTTCATCGATTCTATTAGGTTTACTTACTCTTGTTTATATACATACGAATTGGTAAATAACTGTTTGAAAAAAAAAGTCATTGCAAGAGCATATATCATGATATCTTTTAAATAGAACACTCCTATTGTCCATTCTCTTTCATCTACTGTTTTTTGACTTCACTCATGACAAAGAAATATTCTTGATTGTCTTGGAAGTGAAAATATAGCTCATTTCCATCTAGCTTTTGAAAAAACTACGATTTTATTATATATATATATATGTATCTTCAATATATTTTCACATTTCACAACTAAAGTCTGAATATTCATTGGTTCTTATCAGCTAATTAAAAAAAACTCGAATATCTACTTTTTCCAGTAAATTGATTGTTTTTGAAGATGAACAATTATTATCACTTGTTACTAATCAATTATTAGCCATTCGATTGTTTAATAAAAATCTTGCTCATTTTGCCCATTGTTTTCTTACGACACTAGAGAAGTTCGCCTATTGGCCTAAAAATCCTGGTAACATCGCTGACTGAAAGAGCTCTTAATGATTGACTATTCAAATTAGACTAACATGCAGCTAAAGTTGTGATTAGTTGAGAAAAAGGACATCGACGCTTACACCCAAAGTAAACGGTATGATATACCGAGTGCAGCATAAAAATTGCAACATTTGATATTTCGCAAATATGTCATCATAGATAAATCATATAATCTTGATTTTTTTTCTTAAAAGATGTGCCGTGAAAAGCTCTACAAAAACTATAAGAACAAGTTCTAATTGACTTATTCTAATGGTGTCTTCTGTACCTAAAATGAACAGGTCACATAACAATGCTATGCTCCATCGTATTCAGCGTGATAAAAATCTTTCGAAACTTTTTTTTCACTTTGCAAATATCTCGACTTGAGAACATGACAACGTCTTGGCTTTTTTTCAGAAGATGCGCCGTTGAAAGCTCTATAAAAGCTACATGAACAAGTTCCTATTAACTTGCTCTGATGATTTTTCTAATTCGTTAAAAATAAAGACCTACGCGATGTTGCTATCGAGTGTTCAAAAATGTTTGCTATATTTTTTATTTCATAGAAATCTTGGCTTAAGAAAATGTCAGAATCTTGATTTTCTTTTTAAAAACTTTGCTGTTAAAATTCTAATCCCTATTGACTTGTTCTGATGGTGTCTCCGATACTCAAAATGAACAAGTCATATACAACCCAAAAAAAAAAGTCTTTCAAATATTTCTATTATGCTAAATACGGTGGAACATAGCACCATCATGTGAGCTGTTCATTTTGGGTATAAAAGACACTATCAGAACAAGCCAATAGGGATTGTCTCTCACAATTTTCGTAGAGCTTTTCACGATAAATCTTTTAAGAAAAAAAATCAAGATTATATGATTTATCTATGGTGAGATATTTGCAAAATATTAAATATTGCAATCTCTATCCTGCACCCGATATGTGTAAATATTCAGTTCAAGCTCATTCCAACGGGACCCCGTTGGATGTTATCAGAATTTTTTTTTCTGGATTTTGATGCTTTCTGAAATTTAAAAAATAGTAACACTAAAAATGTTCGATTACTCCTACTGAACATATGTCAGACAAAAAAGAAAACAAAAATTATAACAAGATACTCTTTTAAAAATAGCGTCACAACTAAGTTAAATTCAAAATTTAGCAAAGACTAACCGATCCTTTTTTCCTGTAACTGGATGCATTTTATGAATGTTCCTCAACAGATAAAACAATTGAAGTTTTTTAATATTGTTTTGATTTCGGTAAAGTTTCAGTAAGTTCATCAACATAACTTTTTTTTAATGATATAAGGTGTTAAACGTTCTTGAAGAAGATCATTAGTTAATATTTCATTTGATAATGAAGAAATTGAATTATACGAAATGATGAGAATACTTTTTCATATAAAATCTTTTCTACATTAATCTAAAAATCAAAAAAGAAAAGAAAAATAAATTCAAATGATAATTTAAAAAAGAAAATAAAAATAAAAAAATGTTTCATCTTCTTATCCCCATGCTGGTGTAAATGTATAATGTAAAACAAGTATTCCTTCACTATTAAAACAATCATTAACTGCACCAATAGTTGTATCAAATGCAGGTGCAAATGTTTGATTAACATAAAGAAATAATTGTTTTTGTTGTTCAACATCTAATTGCATATATTTTTTTAGAAATTCAACAATATGACCGATAGTTTTTGATCTTGGTAATGCCCATTTTTTCTTTTTTAATATTGGTGCACCACCTGCTGCTTTAAGAAGAAAAACAATTTTTCCATCATTTTCAGAATCACCACTTGGACGTGTTGGACTTAAATTTGTTTCATCAAAATTTACTGTTTTAGATTCAGTTTTATCACTTTCAATTGTTGACATTATTAAAAATAAATCTGGAAAAAAATGAATCATTTCATTTCTCTCGTGAAAAAAAAACATAAGACAACTTTTTATTTTATTTTCATTCAACTCATATCAGTTTATGTCAACATGATGATAATGCATAATAATAATAGATTTCGAACGAATCCATTCTTTTCTTCATTTGAAATTGTTGATTGGATGAGACTTAATTAAAAATTAAATAGATTATGTTTATCTTTTATTTTTCAAACAAATAGAACAACAATAACAACAAAAAATTTTTTGTTTATTTATTTATTTATTTTGTTTTTGTTTATAGATTTAATTAACTTTCATCCATTTTTTCATGAGGTGGTCCACATGGTTGAATCATTCTTTTTAATAATTGAAATCGAACACGAGCTTTACTTTCATTTTCACATAAAGCTATATGATTAAGCATATCAAAATGACCTAAATATGATGCATATGTATCACGATGAATATTTGATGACCATTCCCATTTTGATGTATCTGCATGTCCCGTACCTGGAATAGAAAAAGAAATTATCAGAGTTTTATTTTGAATAATCAGAAAAGATAAACTATATTAATTGAAAATAGTAATTCGTCAATGGATAATTTTGACATATTTATTTTTGATATAGAATCTTATATTTTTACATACCATGAGAATATTCTCACATTGTCTTGTTTTTTTTTTCTTACAAGAAAATATGTTCTTTCAACTATTTTAAATATTATTACATTATACGAGTATCAATTTTTTCGTAAAAAAACTTTTTTGAAAAAAAAGAAATCTAAACTTACCAACATATTTTGATTGTAAATGTTCAAGTTGACTATGGATATTATATCGATCACCCATACTATATCGTTCTTATTCAATAAATAAAAATTTCATCAATTAAAAACGACAACATCAAATTTCATATTTGATTGGTCCATTTAATTAACAAATAGAAAAATAACAGAGTAGTCCTCAATTTGTTTTTTGTTTTTCATTAAATAAATTCTTTTCTTTCTTTCTTTCTTTTTTTTATTACTTCCTCGTCTTCCTTAAATGATTCACTTAGATATACAAAAACTGGAATTAGTCATAACCCTCAACTAAAGACATCTGTCAAAATTGCGCCATAGTGGTCTTCTTATCATAAATACAGTCTTACTCACGAGCGTGATCATTACTCAATAAACAAGTAATCAATTTTAGATTTTTCTTTATTTGGTTTTTCGAAAAATGGATTTACAACAAGAGTCAAAGTCACAAGTATTTTTCAGATTTCTTTTTTTTTTGTTTTATTTTTTATGTCATATAAATTTATTCTATTTTTTAAGACTATTTCCTGTTGTAATTGTCAAGACGAAAATAATAATAATTTTGAAAATTCTATCTGCTCAAATTACGAACGTAAAACTTGTTTAGAAGAAAAAGTAGAATTTTACTTTTTATTTATCACTGATTGTTTTTATTTTTGTCTATTTTTTTTTTATTCAATAGGAAAATGAACGAGTGATAGTTGCACCAGATATAAGTTCAGATGATGAATATTGGTGTTCATCATGTTCATCAATAAATGATTCAGAATTAATATCATTAGATACTAGAAAATTATGGCAAGATATTGCTCATATTATTAAATGTATTTATCGAGAAACCAATAGAGAATTTGCAGGTTAGTTTCATTTTGAAATTTTCATCAATAATCTTTTACTTTTCAATTCCAAAAGATATAAGTCACTTAATCAAACTTTTCTTATATGTTTGACTAAATAAGTTAAAGTACATACTTGATAAAGATGATTGCATAAAAAAAAAATTATAGTCAATCATATCTTGAATTGTGTATAGATGGTAATCATGAATAGTTGGTTCAAGTACTTGTTGAAATAAAGTGGATTTTATCAGTATATAACATTTTTATATTTGTTTATGTTTCTATTTTTTAGAAAATCATTCAACAAATGATATATGTAAAGCAAAACAATATGTACAGATGTAATTAATGAAATAAATAATTTAATTAATTTTGTTTTTTAAGTAGTTTTTCTTTTTTTTTTTTTCAAAATAGATTAACTCAATTAGATGCTGAATCTTTATTTAATAAAATTGAATCGATTGTATTAGAATATGTTAATGAAATACGAAATCAAGTATTAAAACGTTTTCAAACATGTTTAAAAACATCTAATGATGTACAATTATTTATTTCATATTTTTTGGATGAATATAATACATTTATACAAGCAGCTAAAAATATTTCAACAATTATATCTTATTTAGTTTGTATTGATTCTTTTTTTTTATTTTGAAATAATGAATTTTTTTTATTTTTATGATTGTTTGTTTTTTAAAGGAAGAACATTATATGGAATCTTTTCATTTAACTTGGTTATTATATAATAAACATTTATATGAAAAATTAGTTTATATGGATAAAAAAATTCAACATTCAATGTCAACAATGATTGATTTACTTCAACCATCAAATGATATTGATAATGATTATTCACCAGCTGAATATACACAATTATTAAATAGATTTTTAGCATTTGATGAAGAAATGTCTGAAATTGCTTGTTTATATAAAGATTGTCAAACAAAAATGACTTTAGTTTCACGAAATTCTATGATTAAAAAACGAAATCAAATGGGTATTATTGTTACAGGAAAAAAAAAGAAAATTTGTAAAAAAATACAAACAATTAAAAATACACAACGATTAACTAAAGAAATTTTAAATAGGTTAGAATAATTGAATTAAATATAGTCCTTTTAGGAACGAGTTCAATAATGATAAAATATCAAAACGAAAAATGAATTCTTTTTTTTTGTTTTTGAGTTTTGTTTTGATTTAAGAAAACTTTAACAAATCGAGTTGAGTTGAAAAATTCTTTTATGAGAAAAATCAAACAAAAGTTAATCAATGAAAACGTTTCATTATCTTACTTGATCTTGTACAAAATCTTATCGTAAAGCTTGACGTAAGTTTTTCAAACATAATAATTATTCATTCACTTTATGTTATATGTAAAACGTTGTATGAGAACAATTATTGAGTTCTTTGACTTAAGAAGAATAATAAACAAAAGATAATCATTGGTTTCTTGCAAAAAAGATTTAAACAACTCCGATCTTTTTTTTTGAGCTTTCTTTGATTCAAGTTTCTTCGTAATATCTTGCAATAAACTAAAAATTCGATAAAATGAGTAGAACTCAGAAGATAGTGCTCATAGCACAGATCTCTGTAGAACTTCTATCTAAACAATGAGTCCTAACAATTAACAAAAAATGAACTCAAACGGAATTTATTCATTCGAAGAGTTCCTTCGTAAGCAAAGTATATTTTTTTTTTGTTCAGTATAAATACGATTCTTTATCCAATTTGATATATGTGAAATTGAATAATACTATCACTAGTTTGAAGTTATTACCATGATTTTATTAAATTATCTATTTCAGTTCAACAACAAATGCTCTGAACATTCCATTATCTAATGATTCTTTAACAGCATCTGCAACATGTCAACAAGATTCAAATGGTTCATCAATAGGTTCAGGAGTTGGTGGCAAAGAATCTTCATCAATATCATCTTTTGATGAATATCTACTTGATAATAATATATCATCATCAAGTTATACTAAGGAAACATCGGATAGTTTAATTCAAAATGATAATAATAATAATCTTCATGAACCTTTATTTCATGACATATTAAATAATGTTTCATCTACGGCACAAATTCAACATGAAATGAATGAATTAAAATTAAATGAAAATATAGCAACAGATAATAATGAAGAAAATAAAAAAGCAATAAAAAATGAAATTACTAAAAATGATAAAGAAAAATTATCTAAAGGTAAATATTAAAAAAAAAAGAGTACTATGGAAAATTCCATCATAATTTTCAATTAAACTTTAGTCTTCATTGAAAATAAAAAGGTTCGAATCAATGGTTTTTTTTCGTTTTCAAGTGTCTTCGACAAATCTATCAGTGTGATGTTTTCAGTAGATTGTAAATCCTTTGAATACTTTCCACTCATTGAGAACTATGACAAATGCTAGTGTAAAAAGCAGAGATCACTACAACAAATGATACACAGAAATGTAGTCTAGACATGAGTAATTTTCTTTATAAATTTGAAACATCTTAGTTTTATATTGGGATTCATTTAGTCATTAATATTCTTCTTGCTAGATTTTTAATTTGAGAAAAACAAGACCAATTATATTAGTTTCGACTCTGATCAATAAATATTTTAGTCTCAATGAAAATCGAACTAGTTTATGTATGTCTCATCAGATCATAACAGAAGTCAATTACAATCCTCATTTAACATCTATATAACTTAGCTTTCTTGCTTGAATTTTATCTTATCAATTTTGTTTTTTTTTGTCGATATCTATTTAGAACAAATTGTCAATCATAATATTTTAGGAACTTCAGCGAAAAAATCTAAATCAAATAAACATTCATCAAATCAACGAAAGGAAAATTTAACAACAACTTCAAATACTTCTTCTTCGTCATTATCAAAAACTTCTTTGACATCCAATTTAATTCTTCCACCTAAACCACCATCATCAACAACATCAAAATTAGCAGCTGATTTTCGTCCATTAACTAGTCCTTTATTAAATAAAACAGAAATTCCAACATGTCCATCACTTTTATCAGCAAAAATTCAATCAGTTTCATTTACAGCTGGAACATTTGGTTCAATAACAGCTAAAGAATCTGTTCCTTTATCATCAAATAATCAAAAAAGTTTAAGTATTAATCTATCATGTAAATCAGGTTAATAATCAATTAAATATTCTTATTCTAATTCTCGTCAACTTAATCTTTTGTTTTTTTTTTATTTTATTTAGGTTTATCAATTAAATCTGATTCAACTATTGCATATAATAATCTTGATCAACTTCTTCGTCAAGCTACATCAACTAATGAAATATCTACATTATTATCTTCATTAGAATCATCAAAAACAACCGACGATTTACAAAAATCTTCTTTCAATGATAAAGATTCTGATTATTGTTGTTGTGATTTATTTTCTGAATCCGATTCTTCAATTACAAATGGTTGTGCTACTTGTATGCCTTTAACAACTAATACAACTCTCACATATGGTTTCAATCAACGTGATATTGAAATGAAAGAACGATTAAAAATTAAACTAACTAAACGTACTATAGAAAATAATTCAGATCAATCAAAATTATCGATTGGAAATAAATCAAAAATTAAACCATCTAATAATAATATTGATGATTTAGTTAGATTTATAGATGGAAATGAAACAGCATCAGATGAACCAATAACAAAAAAAAAGAAAAAGAAAAAAAATAAACAAGTCAAAATAAATCCATCTAATGAAGATATCAATGAGAAAAAAGAAAATTTATCAACATCGAAAGATTCTATTATTGATAGTCCACAAACTTTATCAAAACGAAAACAAAAAGCTAAATTAAAACTTGAACAAAAACAAAAACAAGACGATGAATCTTCTATAAATAAACTTCCTACACCATCTATAGAAATATCTTCTTCTCAAAAAACTGATTCTATTCAAACAAATAATGATATTTTATCTGAAAGTTCTATTCCACCGGAAACAGAAAAAGAAGAAGAAGTAGAAGAAGAACATGTAAATTGGATAACGATTTCTCGTAAACAAAATAAACATAAAACAATGTCAACACCTGTTCCATCATTGTCTACTACATCTGTTGTACCATCGAATAATATTCAACAAAAAAAGTCGACTAAGACGAAAAATATAAATATGCCAACTCTTGTTCAATCAAAGCCAATATCAGAAACAGTATCAAATAGTAATAAACAACAAAAACAAACCACTATTTTAGTTCCACCATCTGTTCAAAATCAAGTGAAAAATCCTAAATCACAAAAGCAACAGCAAAACATAGAACCACCATCTGCTTGGACTACTCATGAACAAACTCAAGGTATAAAAATTCTTCTGATGTTTAATATAAAAACTCTAGGTTTTTCTTTTCCTTTTATTTATTTAGTAAAACCATCATCGACTCTTCTTGCTACAGCCCCAGTTTTTGTTCCATCTTCTTCTCGTCTATTCCCAAATAAAGTTAATGATGTTCTTTTACTTGACAATTCATCATCATCATCATCTTCCTATTTGGATTCAAATAGTTATCTTATTCCATCAAGTTCTCTTCAAGAATCAATTCCATCATTTTCTCCAGCACCTGGTCCTCTTAATAAAACAAAATCTCGTTGTATTCAACGACCTTCATCTGAACCACGTTCTACTTCATTTCTAAATTATTCTTCAATTAATAATAATAATAATATTAGTAATTTAAATTCAACATGGAATGATACATCTATAATCAATTCTAATGAATCCCAATGGATATATTCTGATAAAGAAAAATTTCAAACATCAACAATTCCAAATGATTTTCCTCTTTATGATCCATTTAATAGTGGTGCTGGACTTACTCTTTTATCATCAACATTACCTATCAATGATTTTGAAGGTATAGAAATCTTTTCATAATTATTATCAATTTAATTTTTTTTTTCTTTATAATTTAAAGAACATTTAGATGATTTACGTATTCCACAGAACAATGCTGTCGATGATATGGATATATTTGATAAGGAAATTGAAGATTTTAAAAAGTAGATAATATTTTTTCTAGATTACGAAAGACTCATTCTCGATTTTAGATTTTATATTGATAATGTCTCAATAAATCCCCGTGAACAAGTGCAAAATAATATCGATCATCATTTTATTCATCAGTCTTAATAAATCAATATTTTTATCTTCTCTCAATCTTGTCTTTTGTCTCGCTTGTATTGTACAAATCTATCACGCATACCATTAAAAAAAAACGACAACGGCATTGAGAAAACAAATATATATATATATTATGCAACGTTTCTTTCCTTTTATTTTATGCTTGCTGTTATCTTTAAGATATCATTGCACAGAAATACGATGGAAAGCTTTGTTGATATATAAATAAATAAATAAATAAATAAAGAAAACCGTTATGGATAGTAAAAGAGTTCTATGATCCACTATAATTCGTTGATTGCCCTCGATAGTAACAGAAAAAAGTAGCTAGTGATGACGACGAAAGAACAAAATGTGATGAGTTATATATTACTTGTGATTATGGTAGATTTCATGAGAAATACTCACATGAAAAACTTAGACTTAACGAAAAAAAAAGCATTGCTAATACGTTCTTTTTTTTTAATTTCTTCGGTTTATAATGGAATTCGTATATATATACAGTCGGGGTCAGAGGTCTGGCCCCACTTTTTTGTTTTAAGTCGTGTACTACAACTACAGAAAATTATTTTAATTTGTCTATAGGCATGTGTAGTAGAGGTAAAGTACTAACTATATATGTCTGTTTAACACGAAAAAGTCTTGAATATAAAATACAACAAAAACAAACAAACTTCAATGGTAAGAAAAAAATGGCGCAAAAAAGGACAAAATGATAGTGTTGCTATTAGTTTATGAGGGATGTGATTTCTAATCTATCCATTCGATAGAGAAAATTGTTCTCTTTCGATCTGTGCAAGACCGAGCTCTCTAGCACGTTCCGTTC